AAGCAGAGTTCACCACGGAAAGCCAGGGCCAGATCGTTGTCTCGAGGAATGGGTGATGGGCCATCGGTCTTCGGCGTTGGGGGAGGACTCAGAGGGCGCCGCGGAAAACCTGGTCAACGTGCCGAGGCATGCGCCGTGACCGCCCTGCCGATCGACATAGCCTGCGCATTGCGTTCCCGGCAGGCGGCAAGGTCGTGCCGGGGCAGCAGCGAGCGGCGGAAGGGCGGCCGCGTGCAGTCAGGCTGCGCCACACCGGCGCCGCGCTTCAGGCTGCGCCTGGGAGGGGCGCAGGGGCGTCATGAATGGGCGCGCCCCGCCAGGCCAAAGGCGCTCGCCCTTCGTCATCAAGTAGCTGGAGGATAGCCGCTGGCCGCCGAGTATGACATCAAGAACAGGTCGACGCTGCACTTCGGGCTGCGCCTGCGCAGAGGGTGCAGACCTTCCGAGGGCGCGATGGCGCGCGGGCCGTCGCCTTGGCGTGGAGGCCGACGGCGCCCCCAACTAGGTCGCGGCGTGCTCCTCGGACAGATCGGCCGACGGCCGATCTGTCTGCTTCGCGAGGGGCAAGTTCTATTGAAGCTCCTCGGCCACGCGGGGGTCGCCGCCGACGGCCGCGGCCCGGGCGGCCGCGGGCGCCGCTGCGCGGTCCCAGCGGGGGCGTGTGCCCCCCGCCACCACCGCCTTTGGGGCGGCGCGGCGGCCCTCTCCGGGCGGTTGGCCGGAGCCCAGGCGAGCGCTGGCTCGGACGCGAGGTGGGGCGGGCATGTGCGCGCCAGGGCTGGCCCTGGAGCTGCGACAGCGGGCGGCCCGCGCCATCCGTGGCGCGAAGCGAGCTGCCCCCGCGGCGTCAGAGGGCGCGCGATCTCGCATGGGCATTGCGACGGGCGCTCGCGAGGAATGGGGGTGAGAGGCAGCGCCGGGCACCCCCGCGGGGGGGGGGGCCCGACGGAGATGGGGCGTGGGGAAGGGCCCCGTATGCCAAGAGCCACCGAAGACGGATTATTTCAATTAGCGTCCTCCCGTCGAAGGACGGAGGGGGAGGCTCAGGGGCTGGCGCCCGCCGCCCCCGGGCATGGCCAGTGGCCGCCTCCGCCGGGCAGAGCGCGGTCGGGGGCGCCGCGGCGGCCCCCCGACGACCCTGCCCGAGGCCGCGCGGATCGCGGGCGGCGCGCAGGGGCGCGGACGAGCGGGGCCAGCGCCGTGGGCGCAGGAAGAAGCCTGCGGAGCGACTGACAGCGCCGAGGCGGAACTGGGGCGTGGCGGGCATTCCGTCCGCCGTGCTTGAGCCTGAACCCCGCCGTCGAGCATCAGAGGTCGACGGCGACCCAGCCGAGGGCTTCGCAGACAGCGCCGCGGGCACCTTGTTCGATGGGCTCACCAGCGGCCTCGCGGGCTGCAGCGGCGCGTCGATCGCAGTCTTCGCAGGTGAGCTGAGGAGGGGGGCGACCAACGGAGGGATCGATGCCGAGACCGAGCGGCTCCCTGCGGCTGCGAGAAGGGCTCTCTGGACTGCCGCGAATGCGCACCCCTTGTCCGCGGACCTCGAGACGTGCTAGATCCCCGACGCTGTCGCCCAAGGCGGGCGTCGCGCTGGGCCCCGTGCTTGCGATGCTCTGGGCAAGGTGCGGGAACGATGGGGGCCTGCCGACAGGCGCGGGGCCGCCGCGGGTGTCTGGTGGTCCGGGCCGGGCTCGTCGACGGCCCGCCGATCCGCTGCCCGCCCTGGGCAGCGCCTGCGCGGAAGCGCGCAGCTCTTCGCGACGGGGTGGGCTGGCAAGGCCATCGCCCGGGGTGTCGGAGCCAGCGACGTCGCCGGTTACGTCCAGGAGAAATTACGCCCGGGAAGCGTTCCAGGACGACAGGTGGGCACCCCGCTGGACCAGCGGTGCTCGACCTTCGCGGGCAAGCGGCTGAAGGATGGCCGCGCGTTGTCAGACCGCGCCGGGGGCGGGATTCCAGGGGATCCGCGCAAGTTGGGGCTGAGAGTTATGCCAGACATAAGTTGGCACCGCCGCCACCCGCATGCTTGGTCCTCGTTCGTTGCGTCTTGTGCCGCGGGCGAGGCTGGGTGGGCAGTGGGGCGGCCCTGCGCGCTAATCCTGCTGCTGGGGCCTGCGCGTGTCCTGCCGGTCCCGATGCTGGGCGCGCGATTGCGCGACTGCGGGTGCCGTGGGGCCATGGCCTGCGCGGGGCCTTTGCGGCTCGCTCTGGTCTGAGGGGATGTTGAAGCCAAGGGGGGCCTGGTGTATTCAGTCGGTTCGAGCGCTTCGATGCGCCCCTCGCTGGCCTTGGCGGCTTTGCCGCGTGTGCAGTATCCTCTCTGGGCCCTTCTCCCGCGGCTGCTCGCCGCGGGCGTCGGAGTCAGCCGCGTCTTGTTGCGGCCTCATGGGCGCCCCAGTGAAGTGCTTCAGTTCGAAGGTGGATAGACCTCCTGCCCTGACACGTCGATAAAAGAATTGGCCGTTTTCGGTTTGCGAGAGGGCGTCGCGGCCGTCATTTTTGCTGGTCCAGGTCCGTCGTTTTCGGTCCCAGGCCGCTTTCACTAAGGGGAGATTTGCTAAAGGAGGGTTTGTCCACCGCCGATGAGTGCCGACAGATGGTGGGCCTCTTGCCGCGCGATGCAGATTCGTAGTAGCTCCCGCAAACTTGGGCTTGTGGGCGGTCTACAGCGGGGGCGCGGAGGGCCTCGAGACGGCGGTCGCCGACAGCTTCGCCGGCAACTTCGTCGACATATGGCGGCCCGCAGCTTCGCCGACAGCTTCGCTGGCAGCTTCGCCGACAGCTTCGCCGATAGCTTCGCCAACAGACTCGCCGACGGCCGGCGGCGCGCGGGCCGCAAGGGAGCTGGGGAAGGGGGCGATCTACGAAGAGGTCGGCGTCGGGGCCGAGCGGCGCGGCGCAGGGCTGGGCGCCGCGGCGGTCAGGCCTGTTGTGAGCGTCAGCAGCGGCGAGGCTCCGCGCCACCCTTCGGGGCGGGAGCCGCGCGTGCGCCCTGGCGGGTCAACCCCGTTGCTGTTTTGCGGAGTCGGGGCCCACGGCCGATGACCGCCCTGCCGCGTTGGCGGCCCCTGGGGTGGAGAGCGGCTCCTCGAGCCCAGCCCAGGCTCAGTGAATTAGCTTAGCCCAGGCTCCGCGAGCCCAGCCCGGACATCGGGGGCGGCTCCGCGAGGGGCTCCGCGAGCTTGGCGAGGAATGCGAGCCTGGCAGGCTCCGTGGCTTCACCCTCGCGGCTTCGCGAGCCGCGTCCTGCCCTAGCCGCGCGGTCGGCCCAGGGTATCGGCCGCTCTGAATATTCCCCCGGTCAGGGGTCGTCGGCCGCTTGCATCGGGGCGTGTCCCAGGCGGGTTTCGGCGGCGGCCCCCGAGCAGAGGGGGGCTCGCGGCGGGGGCGCCCTTCATGCTCGTGGGCCCTCGCACTTCCGCAGCGGGCAGAGGTCGGGGAATCGCGGGAGGGGTGCCCCAAGAGCGGAGGGCCGGATGGGTGATTGGCAGGGCTTCGAGGCCGCGCCCGCGCGGTCCTGCCCGCAGCGGCGTCCTGGCGTGCTTCCGGGGTCGCCTTGAATCCCACCCTCCGGTGGGCGCCTCCACGGCGTGGGCCCTTCCTGCCTGTGGGCCCCCAGCCTTCCGCCGCGGGCGGGGGTGGGGGCCAGGGGCGGGGGGGGGGCCCGACCGCGGAAGGCCTTGCGGAGGATGGCTTCGAGACCGCGGCCTCGCCGCCTTCGCGCACTTGTGCGGCGCGGTGCGGGCGGGGGCGGTGGCGCCGTGAGAGGCAGGGGGAAAAGGGGAAGGGGTGAGGGGGGCCTCGTTCTCGCCTGTCTCGGCCTAGGGGCCCCCCACTTGCCCTGGCTTGGCTGCCTGCCTGGGGCGGGCGGCCCCCCGCGCAGGGATCGGGCAAAGGGTGGGCTCCTGGGCCGAGGGAGGGGCTTGCAACGGTTCGATGGGCCCCCTAAGATCGCAGTGTCTGGAGGGCCCTAGGATCCACCTCCTCTCCTCCAGTTCTCTTATCCTTGCTGGGTGTCACTCGCGTCGCGAGGGGGGAGGGCGCCGAGTTTCTGGGAGTGGCGGGGGCCCTGGGGCCATGGGCCAGGGCCACCGGAACCGCCACGAGTAAAACGGGCATCATCGTCGCCCCTCCCCCCCGTTACCGCCATCGCTCTGCTATTGGGAATCGTCGAGGGTTGCTTCCGTGTGCCAGCACGTGCGTTTATCCTCCTCAACCGCCCGACGTCTGTTGCCATTTGGGCTCAGGCGTTCGGCCGTTGCTGAACAACCCGCCCGCCTCCCTGGGGCAACAAGTTCCCGGGAGTGGCAGGGGCCCCGAGCCAGGGCTCCCGGAGCCGCCACCAATATAAAGGACATCGTCGTCGCCCCCATCCCCCCTTCTACCGCCATCGCACCGCTAGCAGGGTTCATCGAGGGTACATGAGCTTCATTTTCGTGACATAGCAGCACGTAAAATCGCTTCTCAACGCTTTCGCTCCATGAGTGGCGTTCCATCAATTGCATCATTTCTGTTGCACACCGTGGCGTCGGGAAAAGTGCTGATTGGGGGTTTAATAGGTTGTTTTTATATGTTGCGTCCTTTTCGTTGGTTACCTGTCGTGTGTGCGGCAGCTGTCTTTCTTGCACGCCTTGTCGACGCCATTCTTGCGCCCATTTTGACCATTATTTCCCTCGCGCAGTTACGTCACGATCTCCCTTCCTTCCGATGACATTTGATCGTCGTCATGATGCCCTGAGCCTCCTGTTCCTCCCTGAGGGTCTTTGACTTCTCGGCACCGGCGCGGGGAACAATTTCTCATCTTTCTCTTTCCCTGTGGGAGGAGTGCAGAGGAGATATACGGGAGGGCTGAGGGAAGGGGTCAGGATAAGTTTTGTGGAGGGAAGGAAGAGGAAAAGGGACGGGATCGCTGACCCCCCCTTGTGCTCGTGGTCCTGGCCTCCCCTGCCTGTTCTTCGACAGCATCTTGTTCATTCATTCTACTGTTGTGCCCCTTCCAGGACATCTGTTCACCGCAGGAGAAGCGAGCCCTGCTGGCGCGGGGCCCAGAGCGAGGAAACAAACATATATGATTCATATACATGCGTATGCAAGTTGGCTCGTTTCGCTTTGCCAGAACATATTGTCCCTCATCCTCGTCCATTTGGAGACACATCGCGGGCTCGCCTTTGAGCGCGAGCAGGCGTAGCAGGCGCGTCGGGCTCCGCGGCCCCTTTCCCTTCGTTATTACCCGTCGTCTATGTCTGCTTCTCCCTCCTCTTGTCCCTCGGCCTTCTCGTGCTCCTCCTTTTGCCTGCCCCCTCCCTCTGCGTCCTGCTCCTCCTTCCTCCTGCTCCTCCGGAGTCGCAGGCTCGCACGCCTGGCTTGTCCTCCATCGGTCCTCGTGGAGTGGCCATGGGCAGGGGCGCAGGGCCAGCGGAGACATCGAACCGATTCGCGGTTCACGTTGACAGCTGGTTTTTCTCAGTGGGGGGTCGCTCTGGGCGCTGCTTCGTGCTTTGCTCGGCGGGGCCGCGCCGCGGGGGGCGGGTCGGGGGCGGCTTTCCGCTGGGGCTGCGCATGTCCAGGGGCACGCCGGCATCCGAGAGGCGGAACCAACTTTTCGTTCGCGTCGGCGGCTCTTGTTTTTGCTCTGGCGGGAGCCCTCGCCGCGGGGTCGCGGTGGGTGCCACTTTTTCGCAGGGGGTGGCCATGACCAGGGGCACAAACACAGCGAAGCGGCCGAGCCAGATTCTTTTGTATCACGTCAACGGCATACCCTTTTGCTTCGGGGTCCAGGTGTGGGGGTGCCTGAGGCCCCCCAGGAGTTCCGCGCCATCGGGTCCAATTTCGCGGGGAGTCTGGTTAGGGTGGCTGTAGCCACGGGCATTTTTTGGTTCACGTTGACGGCTTGCTTGTTGCTTGGGGGGCGGGCTTGGGGGAGTTTGAAGGAGCTAGGTCGGTTCCCACAGCTTGCGTTGTTTTTATCCACTTCGGGCCTTCTTGGAGCTTTCTTGAGTAATACGGGGGGCTTTGAGAGTCGCGTGGGCGCCACCCGGGGAAGTCTTGGAGCTACCTTGGGCCTTCTTGGAGCTGTTTTGGACCGGCTTTGACTTGTTTTCGGAGTGTCGATGGCGCTTTGGGGACGTCTTTGGCTTCTTTGAGGTCCTGGGGGGCTCTCTTGTGGCTTGTGCCGGGCTCTCCTTGAAATGCTCGGAGACATTTGAGACGAAGACGGGGGGGCCTTCAATTGTGTATGCCCCCCATCCGTGAGGGTGTGGTGGGAGGTGTTCCAGGGAATAGGGAATAGGGAGACAGGGAGCGGGTGCGGGAGGAGAGGGAACGATGTAAACGGGTGAGGGGAACAGCAGGAGCCGTGGTAGGAACAGAGCTGGGGGAAGGATACGAGGCGAAGGAAGACGAGCACGGAGGACCAAAGTGGAGGAGGAGGAGGAGGACGGGGAGTCACATGGAGTTACATATCCATTATATTTCATCCCGTCCTCAATGTTTTTCCAATTCAAAGGCACATGATTGCCGCCCTTCTTTCCTAATCTCCCCTCTCCTTCTTCTCTCCCTCTATCCTTCCTCTTGCCCTCTGCCTCTCATCTTTGCCTTGTCAGGAGGAGGGCGATTGAGTAGGAAAGATGATCGTATAGGGCGGACTGTGTTTCTGTGCGAAGCGGCAGTGCCTCCTCATCTAAGCATCTGTATGAGACAGGGGAAGAGAGAGAGGGAGAGAGAGGGAGAGAGAGAGAGAGAGAAGTGGCTTCGTGATACCGTGAGCTCGAATGTTCAAGAACCGGACAAGCTGGACTTTCCTGGACCTAATCCTCCCCCCTCGCCCCATCTCCGCATGTCCTCCTCCGACCTTCCTCCCCTCTCCTCTCTCCTCTCTCCTTCCTCCTTCTCGATTCTCCCCTCTCCTCATCTGGATCCCCTGCATCCCTCCTCCCCTCTTCTCCTCTCGTCCCCTCTCTGGATGTCCCCGTTCCTCCCTGCATCCTCTCGGGCAGCCTCGTGGTACGGGCAGCTTGCTGAAGAGTTTTCTCAAAGCCTTCAGGGCGCTCGCGAGCGGCCGCGGTATCCGACAGATCCTCCAGATCTGCCCGTTCTCAGAGATCCTTGAGCCATCCGTACCTGGTTTGTTCCTATCCTGCCCTTGTCTTCCCGTGCCCCCCTACTCGTCCTCCAACTCCTCGATCTCCTTCTCCTTCGCCTTCGCCTCTCCCCCACGCGCGCAATAGCTGAAGGAGGAGGAGGGAAGAAGGGGCAGGAGGAGGCTGATGGAGGAGGAAGAGGAGGAGGAGGATGAGATGGAGGAGGAGGAGGACGAGAAGGAGGAGGAAGAGAAGAGGTAGGGATGACGAGGACGCTAAGGAGGAGGAGAAGGAGGAGGAGGAGGAGGAAGGACGAGGACGGAGGTGGGAGTTGCAGGAGGAGGAGGAGGACGAGGGAGAGGAAGAGGAAGAGGAAGAGGATTATGATGAAGATGATGATGACGATGATGATGCTCATGATGGTGATGATGATTATGCTGTTGATGATGATGCTGCTGATGATGATGATGATGATTATGATGAGGATGCTGCTGCTGATGACGACAATTGGTGGTGGTAATGATGATGATAATGATGGTGGTGGTGATGCTGATGAAGACGATGATGATGATGATGCTGATGACGATGCTGATGACGATGATGATGCTGATGATGATGCTGATGAGGATACTGATATTCATGATGATGACGATGATGCTGCTGATGATGATGATGGTAGTGATGCTGCTGATGATGATGATGATGACGACGAAACTGATGACGATGATGCTGAGGATGGTGCTGCTGATGATACTGCTGCTGATGATGATGATGACGCGGAGGAGGAGGAAGATGAATATGAATCCTATGATGATGAGGATGGGGATAATGATGATGCTGCTGCTGCTGATGATGCTACTGATGATGATGCTGATGATGTTGACGATGATGACGATGGTGACGATGATGCTGCTGCTGCTGCTGCTGATGATGATGATGATGATGATGATGATGATGATGATGATGATGGGGATGAGGAAGAGGACTGTGAAGATGATGCTGATGCTGCTGATGCTGATGCTTATGATGATGCTGACGCTGATGGTGCTGCTGAGGATGATGATGGTCTTGGTGGTGGTGGTAATGATGATGATAATGATGGTGGTGGTGATGATGAAGACGATGATGATGATGATGATGCTGACGACGATGCTGATGACGATGACGATGCTGATGATGCTGCTGATGAGGATGATGATATTCATGATGATGGTGATGCTGCTGATGATGATGATGGTAGTGATGCTGCTGCTGCTGATGATGATGAGGATGATGACGACGAAACTGATGACGATGATGATGCTGATGATGGTGCTGCTGATGATGATGCTGCTGCTGATGATGATGATGACGCGGAGGAGGAGGAAGATACATACGAATCCTATGATGATGAGGATGGGGATGATGCTGCTGCTGCTGATGATGCTACTGATGATGATGCTGATGATGTTGACGATGATGACGATGATGACGATGATGCTGCTGCTGCTGATGATGATGATGATGATGGGGATGAGGAAGAGGAAGAGGAATGTGAAGATGATGCTGATGCTGCTGATGATGATGCTTATGATGATGCTGATGATGATGGTGCTGCTGATGATGATGATGGTTTTGGTGGTGGTAATGATGATGACGATGATGATGACAGAGACGACGATGATAATGACGCTGATGACGCTGATGATGGTGATGATGCTGATGATGATGATCATGATGCTGCTGCTGATGTTGTTGATGATGCGGGTGATGTCGATGCTGCTGCTGATGATGATGATGCTGCTGCTGCTGATGATGATGATGATGATGACGATGATGATGGTGATGATGCTGCTGATGCTGCTGCTGCTGATGATGATGATGATGACGAGGAGGAGGATGAGGATGAGCAGGAGGACGAGGATGATGAGAAGGAGGAGGAATGAAAAGCGGGGATGAGGGATGGTCATGCGAGAGAGGAGGAGAAGGGGGGAGGATGGAGGGGGTACGGATGACCTCTCCACTTCGACGTTGCCCTCCTCCTCCTCTTCCACAAGAAATTTTTGTTCCGCGCGGGATCTGGACGTCCTCAGAAGTCCCTAGAGGTTACTGGGGGCCTCCCGAGGTTTTTGGAGGCTGATGGAAGTGTCCAAAGCATTCAACATCCTTCGAGCACATGCAAAGGCCTCCTTTCTCGATCCTTGAGGGTCGATGGCAAAAATTAGCGCTCGTGCCCTTCCGCCGGCTTGTCCGCTAGCCGAGGCGCACGGAGTCGTCAACGACCGCCTCCAGTCCCTGCTGGCGAGCCGTCGCTCGTACTTTGTGTGCATGGCCGTCCTCGGTGTGGTCGCGTTCGCGACGAACACCGTAGGATGACTCGCCGTTTTCGGGAGGGGGGAGGGTGGATGGGGGATAGTGGTAAGTCTTGGGGTTGCCCACGGGCAGCCCTTGAGGTAGTCCCGACTGGCCTCAACAGGTCGCCCGAGTAATCTGAGCCGATATCAACACCCTGGCGCCGCCTCTGGCGGCACCCCTCGCTGGCCTCCGCCGTTGAGGCGCTCTCGGGATGTCTTTGGGCCCTCTTTGGGCCTCCTGCCACGGGGGCTGAGAAGTCCATTGGAGCTCGCAAACACGCATGTTTCTTTCGACGACCCTATCAACTGGGGCTTCTCATGACCCTCAGGACCTTCTTGAGGGAGTCTCGGGCCCCTCTTGCCCCTTGGGGCCACCACGGAGGCCGAGGCGCACCCTGTAGCTCGCAGAGTCTGGAGTGCCGAAACCATCTCAAAGCAAGATTTCTTCAGGATTCTGACCATCACGGGGGACTTCAGGGGATCGTGGGTGGCTATCAGGGGCCTCCCTGGCACCTCTCACTCTGGCCACCCTGGGGTCATCTTGGTTCTCTTGAGGCAGTGCTGGGGCCATCTTGTTGCTTGCCTCCCGATGACTTCCGCTGTTGGGCCACTTTTTGGGCCTCTGGGTGCTCGTTTGGAGCCCTCTTGGGGCCCTCTCGGGGGAGTTGTGGGCTGGCCCTCTTGAGGCTGCTTCGAGGCCTGAGAAGCCCACTGAAGCCCGCACAGAAACGAAAGCCACAATGATTGAAAGTACATGTGCTGTGCAATGTGAATCGGGCCAGCTTGCAAGCATCTGGGGACAGGTTCTTCAGCCATCTTGGGCCGTCAGTGTAGTCCACTGGGCTGTCTTGGACCATCTTGGGCCATCTTGGGACCTTCGTGGGAACCTCTTTGGGTCGGCATGGGGTTTGACACGCTTTGGGCCGGCAGATTTGACGCGAGCCCTGACAGAAGTTTTGCTCAGGACCAGGCTGTTGACTTTTTGCGAAGCGTCGCTGTGGTGAGGTGCTTGGCAATAGTTCCGAAGGTGGGCCGCCAGTGCCAATCTCTCGTGCAGCATGCAGCATCATCTTGTCAATCGTCGTGTTCCGTTGCGAAGTAGAGCATGTAGACAGGCGTTGGCCCTGAGGTTTCGCAGCAGTATGTTTCCGAAGTGAGCTGTAAGCATTCAGTTTCCCATCCACTCTCTGCCTCTTCAAAGAATGCGCTGCAGACACCGTCAACATCTCCAACGACCTCACACACTTCTATCGGGCGTCAAATGTGCAGACTCAATATCCGCTTTACCGCTGCGACATAACTCGTGGAAACTGCTCGACGAACGAGATTGATTTTGATTCTGCAAAGCGGTACTCGGAAGACATGCTTGTGCGATTGGTTGCCATCCTGTGGGAAGGTACCAACCGTGCTGACACCGTGAAACATGTGATCTCTTGGCTGGGCACTTTCCTCTCGGTGTTCTGTTCGATTGGTGCTCTGGTTCACTGGACAGATTTCCGAAAGTCCAGGCGGTTTTGCATTGTGGGCTGGATTTTTGCTTCGCTCAGTCCAATTGTGACCTCCTCCATCGCGGAGATTGATTTTGTCCGATGGGACAGAGTGGAGGACCACGTCGCAACTGTTGGAGCAGAAATTGCGGAGGAGGTGATGTTCCACGTCACGAACCATGCGTCTGTGGAATCTTGCAAGGCGTCTGTGGCTGCAATCGATACTGGGCTCCCTATTGCTCAAAACATATGTGGTTGGTACACGTGGAAATGGAACATTTTTAAATCAGAGGAGTACGTAAGAGGTTGTGATCACTTTGAAGCGGCTGTCGTGACTTACAAGGCTACGCTGATAACGAACTCGTCAACGTTCTGTAGGAAAATGGACCTATTCCAGAGTGACGGTCCCTCATTCAGGGGCCAGTGCGGTGCTCAGTTGCGACTGGTGTCTCGGGTCTCATCCAGCGATGGGACAGGTTTGGGCAAGGGATGAGGCCAGCACTGCTTAACTGGCGGGGGAGAGTGAGGGCTCCGGCGATAATGCATTCTGGATCCTCAAGCTGGTGCTTTCTAATCTCATGGTCTGTCTATGATTTGGTTCCCCGTGTACTGGAACACTCTTGAGGTGAGAAATGGAGGGTGTCACATTGTCTCTCTGATGGGATGTTTGGGCCTCGTTCGTGTGTCAGGTGCGGCTGCACATGTCTCATTGAATCTGCGATGTCAATCGGCACTTTGCTTTCTGGACCGCGACATGTTCTCCCTCCCCCGCGCGAGCTTGAGATTCGGAAATGTGGGCATGGTGCAGAATCTTTGTCGCCAGCACTGTCCTGACCTGTGATGGTCCATCAGTGACTTGTCCACTTCCTCACGCGATGATTCCGCGCTCAGACGTGTAATGCCCACGTAAAGCTTGCACTGGAGGTTTGTTGATCGTTTTGCGAAGTTTCCGGGGCGCAAGGCGAAGTTCTTTCCAGCCCCCGCTCTTCCCGTAACTGATCGAGAACCAGACACTCTGGCGCCAGGCAGTGCTCCGCAGCCAGCCCCTCCCGCAACCTGTAACGGTCGAGATGGCGTGGGCGGTGCAATCTCGGGCTCGTGCTCTCGCCGTGGCGCTGGCTGTGTTCCTGACTCGGGCTGGATCCCTCGCCTTGGGAGCACCAGTAGCAGCGGCAGTGGCAGTGCAAATGGGCTTCGGGCCATCCCGCCACCGTGCCTGTGCGTGGATGCCTCTCGGGGGCCTCTTACAGGGCTCTTGCGGGCCTCCCTCTTGGGGGCCTCTGGGGGCCTCCTGGGGGCCTCTTGGCCAGCTGGCGTCTCGGCGGTTGCAATGTTTACAACAAATGTGCGCGGCGCTAAGGCGAGAGCCATATCTTTAGAACGACCCGCCCTCAATCCGTGAAGCTCTTGCAATTTTCTAAGACGAATGTGCGCGGCGCTAAGGCGAGAGCCACATTTTGAGAACCACCCGCCCTCTTGCAATTTTTTAAGACGAATGTGCGCGGCGCTAAGGCGAGAGCCATTTTGAGAACCACTCGCCCTCAATCCGTAAAGCTCTTGCGAATTTCTAAAACGAATATACGCGGCGCTAAGGCGAAAGCCACATTTTGAAAACCACCCGCTCTCCATCTGTGAAGCTGTTGTCACTTTCTAAGCTTCAGAGTCGCAAGTGGTGAGGAAGTCCAAGGCGAAACGCCCGGCCCGCCCCAAAAACTGGCTTCGGGGTGCGACAGGGAGAAGTTATCTATAAGGAGAAGGAATGGAGCAGGAGGAGGAGGAGGAGGAAAGGCACGCGGCGCAGCGGAGAGAAAGTGATAACCGAAGCCTGTTGGAATGCATCTTCGATTAGGCTGTTTGGGGGATTCTCCTCTGATTCGACCGCGTTGTACACGGTAGCCGTCACGCAGCATGCGAGTCTGACGCTCATAAGGTTACACAGAGCTCTAATATTGATTTCATGTCATCGGGATGGCAAGCGTGCTTATCCATTGATCCTCCGTTGAGAGTTTTTTTTGGGGGACGCGTCAAACTAAGGTTGCAGGACAAGATGAGGAGGACCATTACCCCCGTAATCAAAGATGGTTTGCTGCTGGCCGTAGCCTTCAAGTCCACGATAACCAACTTGCTCTCGCTGCTGGGTGCCATCATGTCCACGGCTTATTGGGTCATTGCTCAGATACTTGGCTTTTTGGCTTTATAGGCACGTTGAGTTTTAGTTATGGTATGCCTTGATCTGACATTGCGGGATTGCTTAAATCAATGGCTTCGTCAATGGTCCAGAAGTAGGCTGCCTGATCGATTGAGAGGGAATGTAGACCTCAATTGGTTGTGAATCGTATGAGATGGAGGTGTTTTGCTTTCCCATGATCCTGAACAGTGTCGTGTGCTGTTGGTGTTTGCGGCGGCCACGATGGCCTCATGTCGTCCAAGTGATACAATGACTTAGGGACAATCGGCGATGCGGACAAACCGTCAGTTCATGGAACATGATATGCTGGGGTACCAGGGGCCCTCTGCCTTAGGGATAGGACACCCCCCCAGATTTCCCCCATTCTGTTGGTCAGCGAAGTTCGCACCCCCTGGGGGCCTACTCCAGGCCTCCTCCCAGGCACTCAAGACAGTTCTGGGGGTCACGAATACGCGACAAGGGCGGCCCAACAGTGCCCAGGGGCAGCCCAGCATTTCCAAGAAGGAACGGCACAAACGGCCTCCTAGACGTGCCCAGGGGGCCTGAAGAGGACCCTCCAGCGGCACACAGGAGACAATATCTAGTCATCTTCGCATGCCAGTTTTTTGATCCTCACTGGGCCCAAGACGGTTCGAGAAGCCCCCCAGATGCCTAGTTTTAAAACGTCCCCCCCCTCCATCCAAAAATCTTTGAAGTCTGGAATCTGGGGGGACCCCTCCTACAAAATGGGGGGGCGGTCCAACCTCCCGCCCCCCTCGCGCAAGAGGGGTGAATCCCCGCCCCTTCGCGCAAGTGGGGATGAGGGGGGTTCAACCCCTCTCCTTTCGCCCCCGGTAAACAACCAGGAGGAGAAGGAGGAGGAGGAGGAGGAGGAGGAGGAGGAGGAGGAGTCGGAGGACAACGTCGACGACGACGACTACGACGACGAAGACGGCGACGACGACGACGAAGACGGCGTCGATGACGACGAGGGCGATGATGAACCCTCCCCTGGCGCCAGCAAGCGGCGACGACGATCGGCGCCAGGGGTGGCGGCGTTTGGAGACACACCCTTGCCAGATAGGCCAGTGGGGAAGGGGGGTTGTGGGGATGGGCGTCTCTGTGTGAAGGGGGGGGTGGATCGGGGGGCCCAGTTCGCCGGGCGCTTGGGACGTTGGGGGAATTGGTCTTCGATGTGTCGAGGAGCGTTTCGCACCCAAGCGCCCGTGAAACGCACTCTCCGCAAATCATACAACCTCCGTCACTTCTCTGACAACCTCCACGCCGTGAACCATCGTTATCCCGGCTAAAGCAGGTCTGACAATACTATCTATACGACCACCTTTCGGGTGATGAGGAGGTTGGTGGGTGGGGGGAAAGGCAGACTGACGACAACTGCGATGGCTGTGATGATGATGACGATGCTGGTGATGCGCCCTCGAGTTAGCGACGACGCGTGGTGACGATGCTGCGCCGAGATGTGATCCCACTATCGATCACACTCGAACGATCTCACCGCGGGACACCGACGGGTCACCGACGGAACACCGTTAGGACACCGACGGGATACCGTCGGAACAGCGACGGGACACCGACTGGACACCGACGGAACAGCGACGGAACAGCGACGGGACATTCACAAAACACCAACGGGGTTTACACGGGACACCGACGGGACACCACGGCGGGACAACCTGGCCACCGCCCGCCCACTTGGGAGGGAAGGGGCGGACAGCGACAGGACATCACTGCGGGACAACCCGGCCACCGCGCGCCCACTGGGGAGGGAGAGCCCGAATTTCCCGGTGGGGGGCTCTCCGTCCCACTTCGATCTCGCTCCCCAACCTCCGAGGCAGTGCGCAAGCGTTGATCCAGTAAACGCGTTTTGTCATAATCCATATCGAATGCGATGCGGGCCACGCGCGCACCCCTTCGCACGCATGTCGAATCAATTTCGAAGTCATGGGGCTTGTAAGCATTTCAAGATCGAGCACTTCAAGCAAACATGTTGCAACAGCATTTATCCGAGCAGTTGTTGCCAGATTTTCTGCGCGCGCACACATTAGGCGGCCAGGGGGTCTCAACTGTTTGGGGCCCCAAGAAATTTGTCAGGAGCAGGGATGAGGCCAAATCCGTCAAAATCGGTCCCCAGACCCCTCCCGGGGGTCATTCTTTGGTGCGTCTTCTCAGCCCAGATCTGGTTCTTGACGGTCCCTGGGTCCGAAAACGGCACCCAGAGGCCGAAGAAGGCATCAAACCTCTCCGAATCCAAAATCTTGAACCTGCCCCCCCTTCATGTTGGCTAGAACCAGTGCTGGGCCATCTCAGACCCCCAGCCGGCTCCAACAAGCGCAGGCTCCCTGTTCTCCCTGTCCCATGAGAACAAGCGGTCGGCCCTGCGCGCGCGCGCCCGCGCGCGCATAACGAACCCACTCAAGAACCATGGCGCGCTGGGTGAAGTCATAGGTTTTGTTCAGCTACGCACTCTCACACGTATCGCACCGTCCTCTTAAAGAGCGTAGACTTAAGCGTGATTCCACCCCTGTGCCTCGTCATCTCTTGAGGGCTTCGCCCCCCCCCCGCACCGTGCGCTCGCTCGCTCGCTCGCCCGTCAGTCTTTTCAAATCGTACGCTGCGGGCCACGTGCGCGGTCCCCCAGCGCGCAACCTTCGGAATCACTACGATGCCAAGTGTTGTTTTCAAAGTATTTCAAGGCAGAGCTTGTCGATGGTTCCCAATCAGAAGTTATCACAATACTCCCGCGCACAAGCATGTGCTAAAGTAGTAGTAGTAGTAGTAGTAGTAGTAGTAGTAGTAGTAGTAGTAGTAGTAGTAGTAGTAGTAGTAGTAGTAGTAGTAGTAGTAGTAGTAGTAGTAGTGGTGGTGGTGGTGGTGGTGGTGGTGGTGGTGGTGGTGGTGGTGGTGGTGGTGGTGGTGTGGTGGTGGTGGTGGTGGTGGTGGTGGTGGTGGTGGTGGTGGTGGTAGTAGTAGTGGTAGTAGTAGTAGTAGTAGTAGTAGTAGTAGTAGTAGTAGCAGTAGCAGTAGCAGTAGCAGTAGCAGTAGCAGTAGCAGTAGCAGTAGCAGTAGCAGTAGTAGTAGTAGTAGTAGTAGTAGTAGTAGTAGTAGTAGTAGTAGTAGTAATAGAATCGTGGGTTTCGTGTCATCCCTGTTCAATAAGAGCATGCGGGCCACTCGCGCGCGCGGCCCCCCCCCCGTGCGCATATTGAAAGCATTGAATTTTCGTTGCGTCTCTGCTCGAATCATAAGTTACAGATTTCCCCTGTCAGCCTTGTCAAACAGTACTTTGCGGTCCACGCTCGCGACTCCACGCGCGTATATCGAGTTTTTTTCAAAATCCGTTGGCTGCCAGGGAAAATATCAAGGTGCATCTTTCCCAACACATATCAAGCCACTTGCTTCCGGTTTGTTTTAAATCTTCCCCCCCGTTCACCGCTCGCCCTCCCGAGTCATGGATCCGTGTGAGGAGGGTCCGCGCGCCATTGCGCCTGCAGGGACGTAAACAACAGTTCCGATGGGTAACTTCTTTCACGCACTCTTGGATTTTGCCTGTAAGTTGTGGGTGACTGGGTGGGATGTTTGCTCGATCGTGTAAGTCGGCGACTGTAAGTTTTTCAAAGTTCAAACTAAATGCCCTCCGTAGATTGCACCCCGCATTTTCCGTAGCGTGTAGTGCATTCCATAGATTGCGCCTTTGATCTGTGTATTGCGCTACATAGAGTGCGCCCTGTATATTGCGCCTCGTCCATTTCATCGCATGGAGACAATCCGAATCTTGTATTTTCTTCGTGGCATACCGCAAGTTGCGCCTTATAGATTCCGCAACAAGATTGCAGTCCACAGGTTGCACACAGTCAATGTCTGGGTCTGGGGTCCACGGGTTAGTTCCAGTAAGACTTCGCGGTTACATGTGCACGTAACTGGATCTGAAGCCAGTGCCTGTGTATACACACATGATCTTGAATTGTGCGATGTCTTTTGTTGCGATCCCCTTTGTAGGCGGCTCGCCCCTCCCCAAGCACGTTTTGATCGCAGTGCGAAGGTACCCCCTGTCCGATCGATTCTTGCATGGATCTTGCGCCAAGGTCGATGGCTCCGGCGCTGATGCAAGGAGGACTTATGGTCAAGAACCAGGTCTTCGCTCGACCCGGGAAGAACAAACATATATGACAGATCTCGCCCCCACACGTGGAGCGTCTTTGGTTTTTGACTCGTACGGGTTTTCAATATCTGGTCATTTTTCTGTTGCCTCCGTCTTCTTGTTGCCACAACCCCCCTCACCAGGTCTCTTATCTGCGATTTTTCTGCAAGTCTCTCGTTTGGCCTTTCCAAGGTGGAAGGATGGCAGGTGCAAGTGGTAGGCAACATACAGGTGGCGTGGTTATTCAGATGGCCTCTCTACAGTTTTTTTGTTGTGCTTGTATGTGTCTCTATTTTCTTGCGGTGTGTGTGTGTGTGCTTCAGTTTCGTTGCCATGCTTATCCGCAAATGTATGTGTATATTTACATTTACACACAGATGTATTGGGATATCGTTACACATACGTATGCGGGTACCTATCTTGTTGTTATGTATACATACATATCTATATATATGTATATATATGCATATATTTGTATACATATGTTATATACATATATGTCTATATACGTGTGAAGCAAGCGCGTACAATTTTGAAACACGGAGCATATCTGGACACGCAGTCGAGCGTATTTTCTCCAGGGGCAGGCAACGGTCGCTCACACATGATCATCTTTTCGAGCTTGCAGCGATTCAGCGGGCCAACTTCTTCGTCAAGTTTGCCATCAATTCGGCAAGCTCGAACTCAACGCAGGTACATGTCTTTAAGGATGGCCGCATCTGCAGTGGGCAAATTTCTAACGCCAGAATGATAAGGATGTTTTCCTCGCTGCGTACTCCTCCGCTGTGTAGGGCTCAGAGTGCACTCGCTTACTAGCGGTATGCGGGAATGCATGCATCCCTCCTGCACACGTGTGCTCAGCACAGCTACGTTTTCATTATTCAGAGCATAGGTGCGTGTCTTGTTTCGGACTTTCCTGGCGTTGGTCTCTGCCGCACGTGGATTTAGGACTGGTGCATGCTGCGATTGCGAATGTCCTTGGGTTCCCGCCCTGCTGCAAGAATATCAGCCAGCGTTGACTCCGAATCGATTAGACGACCCTAATCAAGGAGTCAGAGGGATCGAGCATTGTTCGGAATCTGCAACTCAGCAAGCAAGCAAGCGTGCAAGCAAGCGCGCAAGCAAGCGTGCAAGCAAGCAAGCAGATAAACAAGCAAGCGTGCAAGCGCGCAAGCGCGCACTGCAAGCAAGCAAGTAAGCAAGCCAGCAAGCAAGCATGATGACGATGGTGATGCTGATGATGCTGGCGATGATGCAAAGAGGTGGAGGAGCGCTCAGAGGTGGTGCATAAACATAGGCATATGCATAGGCATAGGAGCGCTCAGAGGTGGTGCATACGCATAGGAATAGGCATAGGCATAGGCATAGGCATAGGCATAGGCATAGGCGCAGGCATAGGAGTTAGGGGGGAGGCATAGGCATAGGCATAGGCATAGGCATAGGCATAGGCATAGGCATAGGCATAGGCATAGGCATAGGCATAGGCATAGGCATAGGCATAGGCATAGACATAGACATAGGCATAGGCATAGGCATAGACATAGGCATAGGCATAGGCATAGGCATAGGCATAGGCATAGCCACAGGAATCAAGGGGTGGGAATAGGAATTAGGGGGTGGGGGGGCAACGGACCAACCAGTAGAGAATGAGTTAGAACTCCTATAGGGCAAGCCTATTTGGAGAACAATGCAAGCTCTCCTTCTGTCCCTTCTCTTCGTCGCACCCAAAAGAAGTAAAGCATGTCCAGTTGCGTATGGGATAGTTTCGGCGATACTTTCTAATATGCTTGGGCTCTCGTGCTTGCGTAGTGCTACCTCGCCGCGCAATGCCCCCCTGGATGGGTGTGTGCGCCCCTTCCACGCTCGAAACTTCCAGCCTGGTGAAGCGCCCCTTGTGTATCAGCCCTGCACGCTCTCGAGACTACGTCGTGCTTTGAGTTCTTGCCATGGTGCCTTACGACCTGCTGAGCTCGTTCGTTTTTCCTACCGCATCACGGTAATCCTTACACTCTTGCATCTGGCCTCACTTCTTGAATGCAAGTAGTATCAAAGGATCTTCGTTTCGATCAGCCGGTTGTTCGCTGTCAGCGGTTCGCAGACGCGTCTGAGGTTCTCGGAGTCCGCTTTCCAAAGCGACATTCTGGCGACTCCAGCTGAGCTAGTTTTGGACATACCAAGTTCCGACGGCTGCGTGGCTGCGCACGCTGCCTCGTGGGCCGCGCGCCCGGTGTCTCTGTTCTGCCTGTCGTTTGGAGGAGCCCGCCATGGCTCGCGAGAGCAGGACTCTGAGGGTTGCATTGGTCGGGAAGGAATTGTTTCAATGCCACCGCTGCAAGGGGCCGCGAAGCACCCCCAGCCGTCTCTGTCCCAGCAGTTTGCATAAGAGGTACAGCGGTCACTCCTATGCCCGATAGGAGCAAAGGTACAAAACATACCTCAGGTGCCAGAGCCCTCAGATCTCGGGCTGGGGGGAGAGTGTGGCATGCAAAAGCGAGTCGTATCTCTGGAGGTCCCGCAGCAGACCATGCCAGCCATCCTCACCACGCTGCCCTGGGCTTTCAGCCTGATGACATGGGCCCAGGAGCTCTTTTTGGCCTGCGCTTGTTCGCTGCACTTCCCTCCGCCTGGTTCACCCATGTGCATGGCAATGCTGTCGTGTTGGTCCAGGGGCCCCATAAGAGTAGGAGAAGGAGAGGAGGAGGAGGAGGAGGAGGAGGAGGAGGAGGAGGAGGAGGAGAGGAGGAGGAGGAGGAGGAGGAGGAGGAGGAGGAGGAGGAGGAGGAGGAGGAGGAGGAGGAGGAGGAGGAGGGGGAGGAAGGGGAGGAGGAGGAGGAGGAGGAGGAGAGGATATGGAGGAGGAAGAGGGGCTGGAGGAGGGGGGGAAAGAGGGGGAGGATTACGAGGATGAGGACAGGTGTTAGAAGAAGGACGAGGGAAGGACGAGGAATAAGCTGACGATGATAGCGATGATGATGCTGATGATGCTGATGATGCTGATGATGATGACGATGATAGTGACGGTGGTGGTGGTGATGGTGGTGGTGGTGGTACGGATGATGACGACGATGATTATGATGATGATGATGATGATGATGATGATGATGATGATGATGATGCTGATGATGATGATGGTGCTGGCGGTGGGGGTGACGCTGGTGGTTGTGGTGCCGATGCTGCTGCTGCGGTTGTTGATGATGATGCTGCTGATGCTGCTGATGATGATGCGATGGTGGTATTGATGGCGCTGATGCTGATGGCGACGATGCTTATGATTATGATGATGATGATGTTGATGCTGATGATACTGATGATGATGCTGATGATGATGATGATGATGAGGATGATGATGCGGATGATGCGGATCATGAGTTTGACGCTGCCGATGACGATTGATATCGATGACAATGATAATTATGCTGCTGATTATGATGATGCTGATGCTGTTGATTCTTATTATGATATGCTGACGATGCTGGTGCTAGTGATGATGATGATTATGTTGATGCTGATGATACTGATGATGATGAGGATGATGATGACGATGAGGATGATGAGGATGATGATGTGGATTATGAGGATGATGCTGACGATGCTGATGATGTCGATGACGATGATGTTGATGATGATGAGGATGCTGCTGCTGCTGATGACGATGCTCATGTTGATGCTGATGCTGGTGATGATGATGATGATGCAGATGCACATGATGATGCTGATGATGATGATGATGATGGTGGTGATGCTGAGGATGCTGATGATGCTGATGATGCCGCTGCTGATGATGATGCTGATGGTGGTGTTGATGATGATGCTTGTGATGATGGGGATGATGATGACGATGATGATGATGATGATGATGCTGATGATGATAATGATTGATGATGATGGTGATACTGCTGCTGATGATGATGATGATGATGATGATGCTGATCATGATGATGATGCTGATGATAATGATGATACTGATGCTGATGATGATGCCGATGCTGATGATGATGATGATGATGATGATTATGATGATGATGATGATGATGATGAGGATGAGGATGAGGATGAGGATGAGGATGATGATGATGATGATGATGATGATGATGATGATGATGATGATGATGATGATGATGATGATGATGATGATGATGATGATGATGATGATGATGATGATGATGATGATGATGATGATGATGATGATGATGATGATGATGATGATGATGATGATGATGATGATGATGATGCTGATGATGATGATGATGATGATGATGATGATGATGATGATGATGATGATGATGATGATGATGATGATGCTCCTGCTGCTGATGCTGCTGCTGCTGATGGTGGTTGTGGTTGTGGTGGTGGCGGTGTCAAGGCCACGCCACTGCGTGGCCACGGGCCCTGCGCCCCAGCGGCCGCCGCGCACGAGCTCGAGGGCCCTGCGGGGGCAGAGAGAGCAGCAGCCGCGCCAGGCCGCGCGCCGATGCTTCTGCCGCGGAGGGCGCGGCAGATCCCGAGCCCGTATCCTGGGGCTCTTGCTGGCTGCTCCCTTCGGGCATTGTCATGAACGTGTACGTTGCTTGCCCGTCCTCGGGCCCGTCGAGCAGTACAGGTCGGCCACGCGCAGAGGAGGGCAGGGGGAGGGGGGAGCGCTTCTTAGAAGCATCCCTGCTTCTTAGAAGGCGCGGGCCTTAGATGTAGGGCTGGCGCCTTCTAATAAGAAAAAGAAGCAGTCTTTTTCTGAGAAACCTCCCGCCCTCCCCCTACCCCCTTGTGCGCGCCGCCAACAAGAGCTCCTGGGCAGGATCCTAAACCCAAGAAGTGGGTCAGCAAGACGGGCCAGGGGGACGGCTCCGCCAGCGAGTGATTGCCGCTGCCGGGGCCCGCCCGCTCACAGATACACTGAGGGAGTGGGCTCAGGTAGTGCCTGCTGGCCTGTCTACCAGTCCAGTACGCGTTCATCAAAACCCGCGAAGCTCGCCAGCCAGCATCGGCATTCTTGTTGGTGCAACTTCCTCTTCTGACATCCCGTCCTCCTTCTGTGCATTTGGAGGGGTGCATCCGACGGGGCGCCCTGCCCCCCAGACTGGCTCAGACCCTGCTGCCGTGTGGGCTTCCCTGCGCGTGGCACGAGGAGCAGGCTGCGCCAGCGCCGCCACAAAGACGGGCGCGCTGGCAACGCGAAAGGTGGAGGAGGCGTTGGATCAACGTGATCGTGGCCTGCCTACCTGGCCTTGCTGGCGATTGGCAAACCTGGTGTCGGAGCGACCGCTGCTGACCTTCAGCGTCCTATCTCTCCACTTCAGCGTGAGCTTGCGTGGGATCTGGATGCCAAGTGTTCTGTTTGTTACCGCGTCGAAGAGGCAATGCCCCTCCTGGCTGGCGGAGTCATTGGCGCTCGCAAGGTACTGAGCAGCCTGTTGGGCGACTGGGTGTCTGGGCGGTAGCTCGCGATGCGCGCGGCCGCTTGCCCCCACTGGCGGGCACAAAGAGTTTTGTTGGACGTGCCTGGCGTGCCAGGGGAGAATGCCGCCATCTTGGATCAGAAGGGGGTCTTCGACAGGCTGCCCAGGTGCCAGCCGCTGTCCTTTCTTGCAATGTGCCTGACGGTGGAGACGTGGGCCCTGGTGGCCGCGCGCATCTGGGAGGCGCGTCTTCCGTGCTGCGCCCGCCCCGGAGTACGGAGTCGTTTGGTCGCACGGCGGGATCCAGGTGCGAGCTGGTCTTGTCGGGGTCGAGAAAAAACATCGGAGTGCGTATGAGCGTCGACACATGGAGGCGTTACTTGTAGGAGAGGCCCCCTCAGGCACGTGTTGCACCGTGCACCACTTCGGGAACCTCTCTGGCTGGAAGCCCGCTCGTGTTGCACACTTGGAGAGGCTGGCCACGTTGCCGCACGCGTCCCAGTTCTGAGATTTTTCGTGCCGAGGGATAGCGAGCTGTCCAACTCGGCTGACGATACGAATGACTCCAGCTACCTCCTCAGGTGGCCAGGGGTCCGCGCGGCCGAGACCTTCGTCGGCTACGACGTCCTCGCCAGCGACCTCGTGGCAGAGGGCGTCTCCTACGCTCGCTTGGGCGATGTCTGCTCGCCTTGCGGTTGGCGGCGCCAGCCTTGGGCGACAAGGGGGCCTCCGAGACGCCCATATCGTCCATCAGCACTGCCTGCGAGAGGCGGGTCGCCAGCAGCAACGCAGAGGGCGTCTACTCTGATGATGGAGTGGTGGTCGCAGGCTGCGGTCGAGGCCCCGCTGACCCAACCCGCGTGGCCGCCCTGGAGCGAGTCGACAAGGGTGGATCGGGTCGCGCGCGAACCCGTGAAGTCCGAGCGGGACCAGCCGTTCGCGGTGATCGGGGGCGATGGGCTCAGTTTCCAGAAGAAGGAGGAAGGAGGGGACCTGTCCAGGGTCGCGCAGCTGGAGGAGGCCACCTCCTACTTGGCACTGGCAGGCTGCGCGTCCGTGGTGGTCATGCGCAAGCTTGTGGGTTGCTGGGTCCACCAGCTGAGGGTCCGATGATGCCGCACATGCCCCCTTGTCAAGGTCTACGGGTGGTCCCGCGAGCGAAGAATCTCGCCCCCACCGAGTGGCGCAGGATCCCCAACGCGCGGTGATCGACGAGCTGCTTGGCCTGGTCGCCGTTTTCCCGCTCTTCAGGGCCTCCTTGCTGATAGTGGTGGCGCCCGAGGTGTCCTCCACGGACGGCGCGCTGTTCGTCGGCGCTGTGGTGCGCGCCCGTTCTCGACGGAGGAGTTGGTCTGGCTTTGGGGAAGGGCGCAGAGACGAGCCGGCGGGGTGGGGCTGAAACGTTTCCTTTCGGATAACTTGGACGCGTCTCGAGGTCCCAAGAAGGGGCCCGTGATGGCCCGCTCCTGCATTCCTGGTCTGTTTCAAGACAGTTGTTCCCTGTCCTTTGCGTGCAATTTTGGGGCGCAGAAGCACGTGCGCATCCAGGAAGCTGTCTCCTTGCGCGCCCTCATGGGCACGAGACGCGAAGGAGGAGGCTTGCCGAAGTTCTCGCGTCCCTGAGCTCCTGGATCCTCCAGTCGTTGACAGCGTTCCCAGCCGAGTTTTTTTTAGTTTTTTCCCCCCCCAGACAACCTGTGTTGTTGGGTCCTCGTTTTGAAGAGACGGTGCCCCGCGTCTCCTTCCTCCCGCTGCCTCCTCCCTCCGCCTCCTCCCTCCCCCTCCTCCCTCCTCCCTCCTCCCACCATCATCGTCATCATCCTCCATTTCGGCACACCCCTCACACGTTTCGTGGCCCCATAGGGAGCCCCACCGAAGGCCCCAGTGCTGCCGCCCGCATGCGTCCCGCACACCCAATTCGGCACACCCCTCACACGTTTCGTGGCCCCATAGGGAGCCCACCGAAGGCCCCAGTGCTGCCGCCCGCATGCGTCCCGCACACCCAATTCGGCACACCCCTCACACGTTTCGTGGCCCCATAGGGAGTGCCGCCCGCATGCGTCCCGCACACCCAATTCGGCACACCCCTCACACGTTTCGTGGCCCCATAGGGAGCTCCACCGAAGGCCCCAGTGCTGCCGCCCGCATGCGTCCCGCACACCCAATTCGGCACACCCCTCACACGTTT